AACCGTCTCGGGGTGGTCAAGGCGAGTTAATGTGCGGCCGACGTAGGTGGCTGACCATTGGACTGATTTACATCGCGCACCCCTTTGCCGGAACGGGAGGGTGCGCGAGAGGGTGAGATTGCGGTCGACTGAGGGATGTGGCGGGTGATCGGCCACCGGTTCTCATTAAACATCGCGTAAGAGGATACGCGCGAGCGCGCCCGGGTGTTTCGATAAAGGGAACGTGCTCGAACGAAAAATAACGTCCTTCGGGGCGGCCGAGGGGACTCGGCAGCCGGAAGGAGGGAGGAAAAACGGATCCGCCGAATTTCGCGGATCTAAGACTCGGAGACGCGCCCTTTCTCCCGCCGGCGAGGGGAGAAGCTCTTCCCGATGTCGGACGTTTCAGAAATATCGTCAAACTGGCCCGACGCACCGGGCACCGCCGTCCAGACGCTGCGTTTCCGGTTTCCTGTCCTCCTTACAATACCGCGGGACGGCCGCAGGAACAAAACCGTCCGCGGGACGCGAATCGCGTTTCAGATAAGGACCATTCACGACCAAGTACAAAACGCCCCTCGCTACCCCGTGCTTCTCTCGGCGCGTCCCCTTTGCCGGTCGTTTGTTACGAGCCGCGAACGATGCGACTAAACTTTTATCGCAAAGTCGCCGCGCGTCCGCGGAATTAGCGGCGCCTACGATTTTTCGCTCGATCGACCGCCCCGACGGGGTATCGAGGGTTATGCTTCCGCGAGAAGGAGGCCCTCCGCGCGTCTCGTCCGTTTGCCTCGTCGTCGTCCGCGCCGTGCAGCTTTTGGCGTCGAGAGGGATCGATCGAGCGGGAATTTTTCATCCTTGACCCCGAGGAAGAGGCAGTTTGCGCAATCGTTTGCTACCTGCTCTGAATATTTCAAGGGAGGTAAATTTTCCGGCTTGCCGAAAGCATCCGCGTTTTCTCGATCCGGAATAGTTAAGCAGTCCTGCAGGTGTGTCCGGAGCGATTTTAATAATGATTTAATTAGCATTCCTACGAGTCGGTGTAAATCAAACGAACCACCCCATTGCGGCACGAAGCGGAGGGGAAGCTCGCCCCGAAGAATGCTCATTAATAATATGGCGGTACGTCTCACTCGTTTCCTCCGCGCGCGGGCTCGATTCCCTCCCCGCGGGAAAAGTGGACGGCTAGGGGTGGCGGACTCCGGTCGGCGTCTCGACGCGTCCCCGCTCGGTCCGGCCAACCGGGGGGAGATCGCTCGAAAATCGGTCGACAGTCGGTCGAAACGGCTGTCGGGATTCGCTCGGGGTTCCTTTTTTCGTTCCTCGAGCCCGGGGCCGACGAAAAATGTCCAAGGCAACGACGTAAAAACGGCCGAGGGGTGCCGCTTAAATTTATGCCTCGCGCAACGGCGACCTCTCTCGCGGTTCTTTTTTTGCCCCCGGGGACCCCTACAAAATGCCGGACAAACAACAATAAATATATTTCGCGTAGGGTCGCGAGTGCGGCGAGCGCGGCGAGCGCGGCGAGAGCGGCCGCGCGGGTGACAGAGACTGCCCCGCAGCCGGGCGCAGAGGAATGAAGCGAACTTCCGGGCGGGCACGTACGAGCATAGCTTAGCGTAATCTGACTGCGCGGCCCCCGTGCGTCACCCCCGCCTCCGCCCTCGCCTCCGCCATCGCCCCCGCCCTCGCCCCCGCGCTGCCCTTTCCGCCCTCGCTCTCTCGACGCCGCGAAATTTCCACCGGCGCGGTCCGCCCGCGACGAAAGAACTCCGCGACCTGACCGGAATCTCATCTTCCGGAAATCCGGGAAAGTGCGCAGCAGGAAGGCGACCTGCGGATCGTCGAGCTCTCTTTCATTCGCGCACGAGTTTCCCTCGCTTTCCCCTCCGCTCCACCTGGCCCCCGCCCGAGGACCTGGCGTCGACGTCATTCCTTCCGTTCCTTCCGTTTCTCGACTCTCTCCGTAACTGTCCGCACCGCCCGAAACGAGTGATCTCGGCCATCGCCTCGAGGCGAGTCTTTCCGCGGACCTCCCGGGGATCGAACGCGAATTAAAACCCTGCGGGGGGGTCTCCTCCCGGAGCGAGGGGCGGCGGAGGAGGAAGAGGGGAAGGGAAAGTTTAAACGGCCATTCCGGTCGTTTGAGCCATTCGGAATCCTAATGCGTGATTACGGCTCGCGGCGGCGCGGTCAGTAATACGGCAAGTTTTTGTGCGGCTCGCGTGTGCGCGGCTCCGGGGAGCTTAAAACATCCCTTAAATTACCCCCATTAGCGTCGGGGGCCGAATGCTCGCCGGCAAACGAGGATTTCACCGGGCGTCCGTTATAGCGTCGGGATTTATTTCGCGCGAATTATTCGGCCCGGCCATTAAATCGCGTCGTTAGCGACCGCTTAGTCGGTTCCGGCTTACCGGCCGACCGATCGGGAGACGCCGCTCTCCTCTCGGAAACGAGCGGAACGACCGCTCGTTCCGCGCGGCGGCAAAGGCGATCGGGCGGAAACGGCTTCGGAAAAGGAGAGGGCGGCGTCGCTCGACTCCTTCTTCCCGTCGGACTCCGAGGGCCGGGGGTGGCGCGATGCCGGGCACGTAGCGATTTACAAAATTTAAACAGTCCCTCGGGATAAGGCGGCTGCCGGGATTACCGGCTCCCCCCGCCTCTTCTTCCTCCGGGGCCGCCCTCGGTCGGCGGAGCCGGCTACGTCCTTCCTGCGGGATAAAACAAAACACCGGCGGAGTATATTAATGCTCGGCTTAATGCGCGCCCTCTAATTAATGGACCGACTCTCCCCGGACGCGCCGCGAGTCCGAGAGCCTTGCGATAAGAGAGGATCGCTCGTCGGCCACGATCTACGAGGCGAGGTTCGTTCCGTCGCCCTTTCCCCGCATCTCGCCGCCGGGAAGAGTCCGCGAGCAGGAAGGACGGAAACCCGGGGGTGGAGGGAACTCGCGAAGTCCTTCGAGCGGCAACGGCTCCTCCGCCGAATCGGCCCGCGATTCGCGCTCGTTGACTCCGTTCGAAACGGGCGACCGACTCGAGGGCTCGATGCCGCGACGACGGAGGGTTCGGTCGAAAAGGACCCGATTTAGTCCGGTTTTTTCGTTCCGAACCGGCTCATATTGTCAAAGGCAAAAGCAGGGCAGGAATGCGTCAAATTACGGCTGGAGGGGGAGAGGCGCAACGCCCGCACGGACGGAGGAAAGGGTCGACGGGGCGAGAGGGAGAGACGAGTACGTAATACAGTGGGACGTGCACGCAACACTTGACTAAATGCACGGAAGAAGGGCCGGCCGAGGGTTAGCCATTAGAGGATATCGGTTGGCGGTCGGTGAACGCGTAGCGAGTAATCGAATTATCGTTGCTTTGAAGATCACGGCCCGTGGATGATCCGATCACGTAGTCGGCGAACGAATTGCTAGCGATGCGAGCCACCGCCGAGCATCCTCGCGTTATGAACTTGCTTCCGCGTCGGTGATTTCCCGCTAAACCGCGTTTTTTTCCGCGACTCGGCTCGGCTCGGCTCGGTCTCGCGTCGAGATCGGCGCGATCGCCAGTCCGGGCGGTGCCGGAAGTGACGGATCGCGCCTCGTGACCCCCCGCGGGGTCCGCACTTCCGAAATTCACTCCGACCCGAGCCGCGAAGCTTTGAACGTCGGCCGCAACAATTTCGGCTCTCTTTTTGTCGTCGTTGCCACTCTTTGAAGGGGCCTCGAGGAACAAAGCCGGAACAGGGGCTGCCGCAGGATCGCCGGCGAGTTTTTGAGGTCGCCGCCAGAATGCGGCCTCCGAGGTCTGCGGGGAAGCTCGCGGTCGAGTCCCGGGGGATGCTTCTCTCCGGAAAGGAGAACGCGCTCCGCCTTCCTCCGGAAATCGACCCCGACGGGCGCCGATGCGCTTCCACTCGAATCCACATCCCCGGAAAAATGGCTCACCCGCGGTCGAGTCGCGTCCGGTCGCGTTGGGAGGGATCCCTGCTGGGCGGTCGGTTCCCTTCCACGATTTCGCCCCCGACGGGCCCCGAAGACGGAAGAAAAGAGCGCCCGTCCGTCGTTTCCTCCGAATTCGACAGACGGGCTCGGGCGTTGCGGTCAAAGTCTGCGAATTAAACGGATCAAAGGGTCGCGCGACGGCACGATTAATGTTTGCCCCGAAGTCCCAACAAGAAGATATTAACGTCCTCGTAATATTGTCCACGGCTAGCTAGGACATATTGAAACCGCACGAACTTTGCTCATAGCTCGAGAGCGGGGCGGCTCTTCGGCGGAGAACGTCGCGCGGAGCGGGGCTTTCGGAGGAAACGCGGAAAGCGAGGAAAAAGCGTCGACTTCTTCGAAGAGCGGAAGCTCTTGGACTCCTCGAGCGATTTAAATTCGGAGGAACGGTCATCGGGCCGGGAACGAGCGGCATTCTGGAGAAAAGCGCGAAGACCGCCTCGGGTCGAGCGGAACGAGCGGTTGGAGAGCGGGGCGAGTCGGGAGAGTTCTCGTTTCAAACGCAGGCCCGAAGTCGAAGAAAGTTAGGGGTTGCGATAAACGTTGATTCGACGCTCGCGCGCGGCCTTTGGGTGACAAACTGCGCTTGTCGGACCATTAGTGGGGTTTTGGAGCGAATCGGGGGCGGTGGCGGTGGCGGTGGCGGCGGCGGCGGCGGCGGCGGCGGCGGCGGGTCTGGCCGAGAAGAGAGAAACGGCCGGCCGGCGCGGATGGTCAGGCCGCGAGTCGGGAGCGGGACTCAAACTAATTCGATTCTAAACTCTGACCGCACCCTGCGAGGACACCCCCGCTTCGGCGCAGATGGCACTAACCGCGGTTAAATTCTCCAGCCGTAACTCTAATTACTCATAGACAACCCGACAACCCGGATCCTGGAGCAACAGCTGCCGGTGAAAGTTGTTAAACGCGCCGAAAGGGTCGATTTGGCCTTCGGCGTTCGCGATCGCTCGATTCGAAGCTCTCTCGCGGCGAAACGACCCCGACCGCGTCTTCGACCAGGACCTCACGAGAGACCCTTGCGTGTTTCAGGAGATCGTTCCCGTAAGATGACTATGGACGTGAGCAAGAGCGAGCCCAGCAAGAACGGAACTCCTCACCAGGAGTGCGCGGGATGCGGAAAAGTCATTACGGAAAGGTAAACGCGACGGAGTCGTCCGACGGGAGAACTCGATGTAACGCGTGTCTCGATCTCAAGGTACCTTCTGAAGGCGCTGGACATGTTCTGGCACGAGGATTGCTTGAAGTGCGGATGCTGCGACTGTCGCCTGGGGGAGGTCGGATCGACCCTGTACACCAAAGCCAATTTGATTCTTTGCAAACGAGACTATCTCAGGTAAGAGGCTCCGTGCCCGTCGCGGTCGACGGATCGATGCGACTCGTGCCTCCTTCTTTCGTGGAGATGCCGACGTAGCCTCGCCGTGAATTACCGAGGCCCGGTCCTCGGGCCCCTCGCTCCTCGCGCGAAAACGCGACTCAACAAGTAGCAATCGATACGAGGAGAGTCGAGTCGCGTTTCCTTTCCGCGGAGGCGGCCGAGAGTCCTTCCGGACTGTCAATAAATGCCTTTGGGAGGAGAGAGCCGAGCTCGGGGCGTTCCGCATAACGCAAATCGAATTTTACGGACGAGTTTCTCGTCCGATATCGAATGGCGCGGCGGGACAAATGCGGAGGACAAATAAGCGCGTGTTGAGATTACGGCATCCCCAGGGAACTCCCAGGTGCCATTGGGAACACACCGGCTATTGAAACTATGCCCTTTATTAATGGCCCAATATTTGAGGACGACATTAGTGGTTCCCGAAGCGTTATTGGTTCGAACCGGCGGAAGTATTGGGAAACTTCCCGCCTCCGAGCTCTGATTCGAATCTGGATATCTATTTCGTACGGTTTTGTTCGAAACCCGACGTAAAAGGCCACCGGTTAGTGGATGGCCCATCGATCGCTAACTACCTCCAGTAACGCTCCGACTGAATTTATTTCAGAAAAGTGCTCGAATTGATTTTTTCAAAGCGACTCTCTCCTACCGGAAGTCGAAATTGGAATGTTCGTACTTTCCGTTTCTTTGTCGGGTTTTTCTTTGAGCAGGGCGTATTCTTAGACTCTGCTACGCGATAAAATGCATCGGACTCATTAGAACGCTTCTATTGCAGACTCTTTGGGAACACCGGATACTGCGCCGCCTGTACCAAAGTGATTCCGGCATTCGAAATGGTCATGAGAGCGAGGACGAACGTGTACCACCTGGAGTGTTTTGCCTGTCAACAGTGTAACAATAGGTGAGTCTCTAATTTTCAATGTCCGCGCGATTCGCGGAATCGACGAGTATGCGTATAAAAAGAGACGCGGTGTACGAAAGGTGCAACGTCTTCTATAGAAATTCCCCCTAAATTGAATTAAACGAGCTGTCCCCGTTCTAGAATAATTCGGCCAGGGGGTTGCGCTTCGGAGAATATTTATTAATGGAATGCCGCGTCGTAATTAAAGATTCACATCCGGCAGTGGAGTTGCCTATTCGAGTATTCCTCGCGGCAGCTCATCCGTATAACGGTTTAATTCATCCCCCAAAATGCAGGCCCCGTTCCAACCCCGTTTCTCCGCCTCCGACTTCCTCGCGCTCCCGCGCGTCTAACTTTGCAACACTTCGCTTACTTATTCGCAACAACCGAGTTAAGCTAAAACTCGTTCGAGTCGAGATTTAAGTCGAAACACCTTTCGGCTTTGCCGGCACCGAGAGACGAGATAATCCCGCCAAGAGGGGAAAGGCAGGAAGTCCCCCTTCCCGTTTGGTCTCTAATCGCTTGGACCGAATGTCTGCATTTTATGCGCATCCGCGATTCCGGCCTCGCTTCGTGGATCATTATTTTGCATTGAACCTTGAGATTCGGAAATTGTCGGAAAAAATCAGCGGACTTCGTCTCGCGATGCTCCATCGATTTCGTCGTTTCGACTCGTGAAATTGGAGAAATTAACGTTACCTTGGATAAATAGAACGAATTAAATGCCACATTTTGCTTATTGGAAAATTAGCTTAAACTTGGTCGCGACGTTGCGGAGATAGGCCCTTAACTCGAGCTTCTCGAGATGGAAAGTGTAATTGACGCTTATGGGAGTAGAAATGCGAGGCATCTGGCGAGACAAAAGCCCAAGTTTCGAACTATGTGTTCAGCCTCGGGGGAACCGAAAGTATATAAGCCGGATGCAAATCGTACCGAGCAATTTGACAGAAAACTTGCGAATTCGCGCCGACTCCACTCGACGCCCGGAAAGTTGCCGACATTGCGACGAAATATCGATCCCTTTCAAGAGACCGCGGACGATTACCCGAGTCCCTCGAACGATAACGAAACGATAAACGCGAAACGTTGCGAGGGAAATAAGCTTTAATCCAAACGATATGATTCTCAATTAATAAACGAAAACGGCAGTTTGCGAGGCTTCCGATGGACCGCCGCGGGGAACGGTTACATCCGGTTTTCTCACGCAAGAAGTAAAAAAGCACGAATGTAGTTGCTCCTTGATAAACATAAAGAAAAAAAGAACGTTTTCTCGACGGAACAATGAATCGCTGATGCATACGACGATAAGTCGGTTGGCATTTCGTGCGTGTAATGTCAGATAGGTTGTCTCGCATCTGGCATTTTCCTGACCTTTCCAACCCTCTTCGCGAACTGCTACCGTGGACGTCGACTCGACATCGGCTTGATCCGGAAGGTTCGGCACGTCGCATGGCAAAATTTGATTTTATCGCAAACCATATTGCAGCGGACGAACGAGTCCGCGATCGGGATGGCAAAGCTGCGCATCGAGAGTACAAGGAGAGTATAAATTTGTACGAATATCCTCCTCGCGAGTGTTTTCACGCGGTCGCCCGCCATAGTCAGAGTAAACTCAGTTTTGTATGTAAATTAAAACACCGTTAATGCCGTTAAAGGTCAATTAGGATTCACGTCCTTTGGGACGATTTACATAAATTAATTAGAGAAGTAAACGAACGCACCCAATGATTTCGGATAAACCGTATTCGTTCGCTGCCGATTAAAAGGAACCGATCGATCGGATCCCTCGTAAGAGGGTCTGGTAGAAGAGTCGACGGGCAGGGCGGTTTGCCTCTTAACCCTTTTGGTTGAACCATCGACCATTCGGGTCGGGGGTCAATGCAGTTGACCATAGACCTCCAAAGGCGGAAACGGATGTGGCCGTTGGGTCACGCGATCTGTGCGAGCCGCGCATAAAACACCCGAGTCGTTTAATCGCGAACTCCCGAGGTGAGTCGTGCCCGAGCCCTCGACCGGTCGTACCGCGCGCGCGAGTAAACTTGGAAGGGTAACTTTCTCAGATTTATTTCCCGATAACGGTGTTACGTTTATCTATTAACGGGCACTCGCCGTTACTCTCGGCAATGGGCGGCTCCAAGGTAGGCGCACGAGCGCGAGCCGGGACGCTTCGATCGGGAATCGGAGGTAATCGTTGCCACGTCAAAGGATCGATACTCGTTTCTCTTAAAGCGCTCGTCACGGAACGGGAGGTGCGCGCATCGAGGTAAGAATCCCGTGCGTCGAAAGAGAGATTCGGACTCGCGCGGAAGCGCTCCGGAGCCGCAGCCCGCTTTGCGGTCGGAGATGGAGATTTATAATACGTATTTATACGGTTTCATTGAATTTTAAAATAATATCTCTCGGCAATAAAATCCATTCGCTCTCTGGCAGCGATAACGCTTTAATCGCGCAATACGTTGTTTCTTTTTTAAGCCGATAATTCATTTTGATTTGGTGCGGCCTCTCCCGCGTTCCAATTTTACCCGCGGTCCCGTAGCTCGGCCGCTAACTGCGACCGCGAAAAAATACGATTCAAGCGAATCGACGTTCCACCGATCGGCCCCGCGGCTCGTCCCCGCGGCTCGTCCCCGCGGCTCGTCCCCGACTCGATGACCGACCTCGGAGGGGGATCCTCGGAAGGGCCTCGAAAGGAAAGCTCAAGGAAGACGAGCCAAGTTCATAAACGTTCCCACCGTGGGAGGTTTTAACGCGAATCGAAGCTCCCGACCGCGAGTGATCGAGGGCGCGGAGCTTTGCGTCTAAGCTTTCTTGACTTATGATCCGGCCCGGCGAAGCTCCGGCTCCTTTTGTCTAGGAAAGCTCGCCCATTGTCGGGGCGATACCTTCGCGAGCCATAGTATTGTTTGCGCTTATATTGTGTGCCGGCATGATTACGAGTTAGCCGGTTTAATTGTCATTATTCCGCGGGGCTTATCAAACGTTACACCGGTCCCGCTCCGCGACTCGGGCGCGACTCGCCTCTTCCCCGTCGCGTCGATACGGCTTACCCCGAGGGTTGGGGGGTAATTCGCGGAACCGGGGGATTCGCCGCGAGTCGAAGGTCTCCGCTCGCGTCGGAAGCGGAAAGGGAGGGCCGCACAATGCGAAGTCGAGTTCGCACCGGGCATTCGCACTCGGCGACCCTCCTCGGCCGGGCGTCGCGTGGGCGGTCGGCCATGCTGCTTCCGGTGTCCCGGGAGCGCTTCCGGTCAGCGTCACGCAGCGCCGAGCCGCGGAGTGCCCCGAGCCCCGGCGGCCTCCTGAGATCTCCTTCCGCGATTATATTCAAATTAAATGCGGACTCCGACCGGTAATATACTGCCGCCAATTTAGCCGCGAGTCGGCCCGACCCGGCCCGACCCGGCCCCGCCAGCGACGCTCTTCCGGGCGGTTGCGTCGTCACGCTTTACCCGACGTCGCGCGCCCGCGAAAATTGGCCGGCTCTCGTTGATTCGCGACGGCGACGATACTCGAACCCTGCACGAAGGCCTCCGAGGAATCCTTTCCTTTCGTCGGGGGCGTTCCCGGGCGTTCCCGGGCGTTCCCGCTTCGAAGCTCCTTCGGATTTCTCAGCGGGGGACACCGCGACGTCGCGACGACGCGACGGTGGAATCGCGTCGGCCGGAAAGGGACCGGAAAGAGGCGGTAGAATCGGCCGGGGCGCGGAAGTGCCCGGAAGGAATGCATTTTCGGTTTCCAGGCGGTATCGCGTTCAAGCGCCGCTGCATCCGAACAGTGGGTTTCGGTTGCAATTCCAATGGTGATAATGCAACGGCTGCGGAGCCCTCGTTGCGCCGAACCGAACTGCTTTGTCACCGGATAACCTAGACTCGCGTTGCCAGCTCTGGTAGCGATAGACCTTTTCCCTCCAACCTCGTCCACCCGCTGCCAACCTATCCAACCCCTTTCTGGCCTATCCGCGTTTCCACCCCGAATCGGGCGCAAGCTCTCTGTTTCATACGATACCGATACCCCGTAATAGGCGCCTCGCCGATTATAAATTAATACCTCCGAGGCGGATCGCTTTACCGTCGCCGGTCGGTTTTTTTATAAATCCGCCCTGGCGGATCCGCGAGATCCCGAACGAACGGACGATCGATTCGGGACGGAGTCCTCCTTGCGTGCAAAACGAGAGGCCCTTGGGAGTGAAGTCGCCTCGCGCGAGTGCAGTGACCGTAGGGAATTTTAGGGAATTTTAGGGAATTTTGGTGCCGACGATCTCGCGATGCACGGGTTTCGCCCTAATAAAACTATGATCGTCGGATAAAACGGGTGCGGTGTATGCCGGTAATTAGTGGTATGCATAAATCATCGAGTGCATGCACGTAAACGCATAGACGCGCATACACCGTCGGCAGTCGGCAACCCGTTAACCCGACCTGGCGTTGCGTGCAGGCAAACGCAAAGGTCGACGCAACCTGGCTGTGGTAATTTACCGTTAAACGCCCCGTTAAAAGTGGAATTGCGCGCTCGCTCTTTGGGTCTCCGATCTCGTGACGTGTCTTTGGACTTGGCTCGTTTTCGGGATCGCGGGTACACCGGATGCGTGCCGTCGAGGTTTCGGTTCCCGCGAACGTCCGTGGGTCGATATCGCGAAGCTCCGATCACCAGTCGGAAAGTGAGTACTCCCGAAGCGTAACGCGATACGAGCAGTTACCGGTACGTGCGTTAAGGCGGCGGTGCAAACGTCATTGCGACGGGGTTTCGATGGCGGAATTCATTCGCAGCTGCTAGCTTCCGGTAAGCTCGTCGGCTTTTTGAGCAGCCAGTCATGCAAAGTGACGGCTTAATCTCCGGTCTAAGCTCACGCCGGAGAATAGACGAGCTTAAGCCTCGCACGGCTTAAACGGGGGTTTAAACTCCTCGTTACGACGAGTGGATAGACTCTCAAAGCCTTCCTCTTCGTAAGATGGCAACTTCCGCGGGATTAGTTATTTAGCAAGACCGGGGGACGTCGCGAT